TATATATATATATGTGTATATATATATATTTTTATTTTAACATTTATAGTTTAACAGTTTGATTACAGAGGCAGCAATTCAGCTCTTGACCTGTTGCCTGGTAGGTCAACACGTTTGCACTCTGCCCTCTCAGCATTTTTAAAACACACGTTCAGCTTGACGTCTTCTCCAAAGGATCTAAAGCTACTTATTTCAATATGGCCGTACGTCTGGAGCTCACAAGTCCTCGTGGACCGCCTTGCGGAGAATCCGGAGTCGGGACATGACTTCGTCCCAGTCCAGGTAACAACCCTCGAGGTGCCGGAGCCTCTCCAGCCTGCTGATGTAGCTCTTTCGGCCGTGAAGCAGACGCCAGTTATCAAAGGTTACGATGTCACCTGAAATAGAACCACCACCAGAGATCAGATGTGAAGCTGTGGGGCACGTCATTGATCCTAGATATACTTCAGCACAGACTTTCATTTTCTTATTTGCCCCACCTCGTTCAGAGAGGTCAGAGTTGGCTGCAGAACAGCTTATAATAGCTCACAGGCGTCATTATGCTTCAAATAAAATCTGAAACCTCTGACATCGCAGTCTCGGAAACCGCTGGACGACAGTCCTAACTTCCCAAAGCTGGCACTACCACATCAAACAGCACGAGCCAAAGTCTCATTGTGCTGTGGGCAAAATTCAGCACAAGACAAAAGCAGCTTTAAAGTCAGGTCATCAGGATGGAAGCCTGAGGAATGCTGTCAAAAAACTGCCTCTCTGCTAACACCACTGTGCCTTCGAGCCCCACTCTGAAGTCCTTTAAATAAGTTCATCTCCGCTACCTGATGCTGCAGACTCTTAGCACACTGTTTTTTCAGAGGGTGTTGCATTACACTCTGGTCGTTTGCTTTTCTCTGCAGCAGCGGCACTGACACGTCACGTGTCATCGCGACCCTGACGAGGACAAAGCTGTTGTTGCCCATCGCCGTCACAGTTCGTTTTCTGTTTAACACAAGCATTATCCTGCAGACTGCGCCCACCTCCCTCTCCGCATCCATTTTATTTGCACTCTCTTTCCTCGCACCTCTCACTTATTTTCATTTCGTTCTTCCACTAACACACACGGTTTGGCATACAGGAGCATGGATGGGGGCCTTTTACACACACATTTTCCTATTCTTCTCATTTTTAATGGAAAGAGGTGCACGCTGACCTGGCTCCATCCTATAGGTGACCACGTTCTCCGGTCGGTTCATGATGTCCACGTAGGCCTTCAGTGCTCTGTAGAAGGGTTGGACCTGATGTACGGGCAGGTCCAGCACCGAGTCTCGGGTGGCGTTATTGTAGTTGATCTTCACGACTCGGCCGTCTGCGTCGACGCTGCACCGAGAGGACAAAGCTCAAAGTCAAACTAAAGTGAATCGGGACTTTTAGAGATGAGACAACCAGTCCATTAGATGCTCCACAAGAATGAATTAGAAAGCATTTCATGATTAGGTATTTTAGTCAGGTATTAAGGAAGCATGCAACTCACTACCAATTCACTGAGTCTAACAGTACAACTAAATTGAATTAGTCACTTTAATATCTTAGAAGTAACTCCAGCAACTGATTATGAAATTCACAGCAGGTCATTTTTCTACTCATTCATCTTTGCTCTCTACTCCCACCTTATCATTGTGACAGTAGTTACCGCACATTGACTAATTTGACATAAATCCAGCTTTTTTCAGTTACACTTGAACAGACACATGTGACTGAACATCTAATTAGCATACAATTAATACGAAGCTACGCTCTTATGATCTGCACAGTTCATGTGTGAACATAATCACTGTGAACAGCAGATGGCAGTGTCCCATTTCAAATGACAAAAATACACACCTAAGTGTATATAAGTGTACAGAAATGTCACTGTGTAGTTTCTCTAAAAGTCTGAATCTCTGCTTTATATAAAATGAGTAAATGTGTGTGTGTGCCGGGGAAAAAACCTCAAAGAAAACAAACTGATGATCTGCCTGATCATCTCCACTTACTCAATGATGCAGTTCTTGGACTGCAGCATGAAGTCGCAGTAATCTGTCCCGGTGTCGGTGAAGTCCACGCGCAGCGAGGTGAGCGTCTGGAAGGCCTCTGGGTCTTCTCTCTGCAGCTGCTCAGCCATGTGGAAGCCGTCCACCACTTCGCTCTCCCCTCCTTCCTTAGCCTGGTTGATGCAATGTAGAAACTGCACCTACGCCAGCCCGACACAGACACACACACATGCTCCACAAATGCTCGTTTTACAACTCTGACAACGTAAAAGCCGAACGCAGCCATAACTCAGGAGCGATACCATATCTGTCTGCTGTTATTTCATCTTCCAAACAGAGCGTACAAGTAAGATTTTACTCACTCCAGGTGCAAAGTGTAACGCCGGGTAGTCTGTATGCAGACTGAGCTTTCCTGAAGTGTAGGCTACATTGTTTGCCATGGGTTTGTCCTGGACCTGCCATGTGTGCCTGAGGACAAAGATAACATTCATTAATATACTCCACTTTAATTATTTAACTTTAGCTTTAGAAGATCAGCGGCGACAATTAGGCCGCGTGGAGGAAAAAGGACGAGATGAGATGAAGTTCGGAGGGTTCCCTGAGGGGGGAAAGCAGGCAGCTTCACAGGAATGCTCAGCCTGTAGCCTCTTAAGCAGGCACTTCATTGAGATGCAGCAAGAGTCGAGCACTAATGAGGTAAAGTTATCTTCCATGTTCTGTTTGCATGTCTCGTTCGGATGATGCGGGGGTCGTAAAACTGTCTCGTTTCTGTGATGGCAGGCCTTCAGCTTTAGTCTGCAGACTCTTTTACTTCCAGTGGCATGAGCTCATCCGCTGGCAGAGGCAAAGCTTTACGCTCCAAACCTCTGTTCTGACTGAGTGCACCAGGTAATTCCTCTGGCTTAAAAAAAAAAAAAAGGCTGGAATGCTTTTAGGTTGTTTTCCCCGTCTCTGTCCTCAAGTAATCAGCACAGCAATAAGTCAAAATGATGAACTCTGGTGTGGTGAAAGGGGCCCCGACGGCCGTTCGCTAAGCTCCTCCATGAAACCGAAATGAATCAAAGCTATGGATTATTCACTATTGGACATATTTCGTTTTTTTGCCTGTCCCATTTGGTTCTTTAGCCGTCAGAATTGTTGTCTGAAGACCAACAAGGATACCCAATGGATTTACTTTGCCAAATGGATCATCGTGGCATTGCCGTATTGGTCCATTTGATCGACCTTTGTTTTTATTATTTATTTTATTTTCATTTTCAGTTGCTACAGACGGGACAGACATGAGTGAGGGATAGGAAAGGGAGAAAGAAAGAGGAAGGAAAAGAAAAACAGAAGGGGAGAGGGACAGTGAGAAAGGGAAAAACAATCTCCTGGATCACCTGTTGAGAGAGAAAGAATAGAAAACAAGCAAAAAAAACCAAAGCAACATACTAAACACAACACCATCGCATTAATCTAGCTAAGTGTAAACACCAGTAAATACTAAATATTCAATGTTGTTGTGCAGCACGCAGGACAGACAGCGCACAATGTGCTTTGAAGTAGCAGCCAAGAAAGGTGTAATTTAAGTCTACGAACAGTGAACACACCCGTGTGCACACCTGTGTGGATCAGCGCGCTTGTATTCAAATGGTTTCCACATGTAATGGTCTGCAAGAGGATGTAGAGAGCCATAGCCCCGTCCCCCAGGGCATGAAGCAGGCATGGAGGAGATCCAGGCCCCAGACATATTTCGTTAATGTACCAAAGTCAGAATCTGAGCCCTTCTTTCAGCACAATATCGAGCTCTTTCTGATTCACTGGAAAAAGACATGCATTTTTTTAAGGGTCTTTTGTATTTAAATTCTTACTAATAACACTCCTGGGCTCTGCTCCAGCTAATATATGATCGGTGGAAAATTCAACAGCTCGGGATTTAGAGGGGAGTCAGATTATTAAACAATGGCTTGGCTGAGGATCACTGGAGCAAAAATGGAGGAAGATCACAGAGTCTTACCCGTAAAATGTCAGCCTGAGATAGCCAATCCTCTCAGCCAGTCTGGCCACTTGGCCCTGCTCTGCAGGAGCCCCCTTCAGGTAGACCATGCCAACACGACGCAGGGCCAGGAGCCAAGCCAGCGCGGCCTTATCGTCACGGAGGACTTCGTCAAAGTCTGCTGAGGGAATGCGCAGTGTCGAGTCCCAATAATAACGCCCTGAAACGAGGAAGCGGACACGGCAGAAAGTTCACTTCTTATGTACGTGTTTATTTCTAGTTTCTGTCTGTCAAGAATTAAAGCTGGTTGTGCGACACAGGAACACAAAGCATTCTAAAGCAACAGCCTCTGTGCCATAACGGCTCCGTTACACAAACAAATGCTGTACAGCGAGGGCAGGAGTGCTCTGCAGCAAAGCATTTTATCAGATGTTACACTCTTGTTTTGTCCTTCTTTGTCAGCGTGCTGGTATAAACCCGAGTTGGCTTCTAGCTGACTGAGAGACTGCAGGTTGCACAGACAGTTTTATATAACCTGTAGATATTTGGAGATCTTTGCACTCTCTGAAGGAGGTCAAGCCAATAAACTGGGTGGCAAGGGCCCACACCACAAAACGTTCCGAGCTGCGTGCCCCCCAAGGTGGATCCTCAGGTGGTTGAACCAGTCCCTGCAAGTCATCTCACTACTTTCCTCCGAGCTCTTCTCCTCCGCCGCCGCCCTCCTCCAATAAAAGGCGTAAAAATTCAAAGAATTAATCTGAGCCTGTTGACTTCAGCTGCAATCAGATATAGGGCACGTCTGCTCTCTCAGACTTTCCATCCAGCACACATTTGACCTTTCAAACCTCCCCCTCCCCTCCCCCCCCCCCATCCTCTTCTCATCCTGGTATGCTGCAGGTGAACGAAATCAAGTCAACATGGAAATATGACCCCAAACACTTTTTATTATCAAATGAAACACAATGAGTAGTTGGATTTCCTTTGTTTAAAAAACAACAACAATATTAAGTAGCAGCTAACAGTATGATTGATGTGATGTTTGTTTTATTGCAAAAAAGGAAACAATTCATTTAAAGTCCATTACTGCCCCCTGCTTATTAGTTCCAATTAAATCTAGAAACGCTGCAGATCTCCACTGCATGCCATCGTGTGTGCGCTTGAAGAAGAATAGCTTGCTGAGAAAAATCAGCACGTCTCCATCAGACAGACAGAAGTGGGGAGAAAACCCCCCCAAAATCCTCCCACTGCTCTCCACCCAACTGGCTCGACTTCTTTTTCCGTGCAGCCTCCCTCCAGTGACTTCCAACGAAACAGCTGCTAAGTGCATTTGTGGGGGGAGGAGGAAGAGGAAGGTTTAAACTGAGGAGATTTTGTACCTGTCTGATGTTTGTGGCTCCTTTTCGTGTCTTTTTTTCCTTTGTCCACCGACTTCCAAACAACTTTCCAAATGGCTGCATCATAAGCAGATTACAAGGCTAAGGCTCGCAGGAGATGGACACACAGGGCGAGCGCGCTGAACCTAATGCATAATTTATCATCATCTAAAGTGTTTCAAACCGCAAAACAAAATGCGACTGTTTGCTCTGAAGGCCACAAAGATTTAGAGGTATGACAAAAAGACTTTAACTGGTGATGCGGAGTATCAGAGCCGCTGAGGCAGAGATGCAGCATCAGTCAGAAACACAGCGATCGTGACTTGCAGACCTCCCTCCAGGCTGTTGTCACAAACAATCAGTTTCTGGCTGCACAATTCAAAGGGTCAGGAACCTGCTGCTTGTTAAAACTTGTCAAGAGGGCGGTGGGCAACAGAGATGGGGAACGAGAAACTGGGGCAAAGGTCAAGTCCCAGTGTTACAATTACTCTTGTGAAACTGGAACTGTCTTGTACAGGCATTGCGGCGTTTCAGCTCTGCAGTTTAGGGTGTCACTCGTGACAAAGGGGCTACAGCGTTAGCTGCAGTGTGCGTATACATCAGCTGAGCAGTCCTGGCTCTAGTTCAGCTCCGATCTCATTGTGGAAACGCATCACGTTCGCCGCTATCAGGGGAATTCACAGCGTGGCTGCTGGGTTGAACAAAAGACGAGAACTTTGCAGAGTATCTGCTTTCTAATCAAGTAATCAGCACCTAACATTAGCTTGTTTTTAACCGGCAAGGCTAATCACAAATCTTGCATGGGAGGAATCATAAAGGAGGATCTTCCCCCGTCACACTGATCACACATTATGAAACAAAATAAGTTTTTTTTTCACCCGAACAGCTTTTGCTAACCTGTTTCTCTGCAGCTGCTGTTACACTCACAGTGCAGTTCTATTCAAAAGATATTCTTTGATTTAAAGCTGCTTCTCTGCATCAACAATGGATTAAAAGCAGCATGTGAATATGAACGATGTCAGACAATTTTCAGTCGTCAGCTTGCCTCAGCTTATTGGAGCCTCTCCTTTTCACTGCTCTTGTAGCTTGTTTTCCCAAGCAGCTGGAAGTGGGTTTTTGGCAATAAAACACCAAGTTTTTTTCTACCTGCTCTGCACTTAACAGTTAAAAAACACAGCTGCCAAGATGCTGGTGAACACTGAGGAGTGCTGGTAGCTAAAGAGACAGATTTGTAGGAGGTGGGTGTGACCAAAATCAAATCTTAGTGAAGTCAATGCTGTAGTTCTATTAATGAAGTGAACACAAGCTCAGTGTCCTGCAGCAGTAAACCTGGGCAGATCAAGTCCAGTACACAATATTCTTTTTTTGAGTATTCTTTTGGAAAAGCATCCACACAGGCAATAAGAACCATCACTCTCTTTTGCATAGTTTCCAGCTGTGGTTACCGGTGGTCCGGTGTCAGAATTAGCATGTGTGTGTTTTTTAAATATCAGTATGCAAAAGAAAAAAATAATAAAACAGAGCAGAGCAGTGTCAAACTGAGGCAGCCTCGAGTCTGCACTGTGTTCATTTGTGTAAAATCACTGTGGGTTTCACATACAGGACTGTGCTGCCATGTGCTTGAAGGGACACCCTCCGACAGCCTGACAAGATATGTGCATAATCCCCTCCACTGTGCCCCCACCCCCCCAGTCCTGGTCTGCTACAGTGGCTTTTCCAGATGAGGAAACCTGAAGCCGTAGTTCCCGTGGTTGTCAGGCAGCTCATGGCAGTTTGGCTCTGCTCTCGCTGGGCTGTGTGATTTAAGCTCGCAGGCCCAGGGTCGCTCTCCTCTGCAACTGGGAGCGCCTTCAAAGCTCTACTTGAATCACTGCAGTTATCCAGAGCTTTTGTTTTGACTTGGTTAAGTTTTATCACAGAGCTCAGATCAGCTCACTTCAATGGTCCGTCTGTGGAATGCACAGTGGAGGGTGCACGGCCAGATGGGCATACACAATCTATTGTTTTTAAGGAAGAGCAGTCTTTAGGAAATTCAATTCAAACTGCTGTTTATACTGAAAGCAGATTTTAGAAGTTTTACTGAATATATGCAATCTCCTTTGTTTTTGTTTTTTTTTAAAGTGGAAAAATGACCCCTCTATCTGTACCTTTTATTTGATTTTAGTGATGCATCAATATAAACTATGGTGGGATCCTTTGTACTCTTATTGGTTAAAGATCTACAGTCAGTCAAATCAGTTTTGTTTTAGTTTTTTTGTCCCAATAGATTTTGCTTTGTCTCTCTACGAAGGACTAAAAGAAGCTTTTCATGTAAAGAAGAAAGAGCAGAAACGGTCACTACTGGCTTTTATCAATGTTTTAAACTATTTAATGTTCCAATATAATCCTTTTCTAAGAAGACACCTGGAAAGAAATGTGCAGTCATATTCTACTCAACAATTACCAAGCACATCTGCATTTTCCTAACATCTGTACCGGAGTGTGCGTTTATCAATGGCACTGCAAGACCATCACGCCACCTTTCCACTAGTGCAACAAACACACCTTTATTAATGAAACAGACGCGGATTACGGAGCAGCCAACTTGTGCATTACCACTTTGGAAGACACAGTGTGAGCAGTGTTTTCTCACCGAGGAGCAGCAGTCCCCTCCGCACGCTAATCCAAACTTTCTCCATCTGCAAATTTAGTTTCCCGAAACTCAACTGAACACTGTGCTAGTTTGTCAAAATCATGTCTTTTTTTGGAAACTTATACGCAACTCTTTCAGCATTATTTCAAGTGCCAAGCGGGACGTCCGCCTTGCCAAAGAAATGAAAAATCCAATCATTATAGTCATTAAGCTTCCCGTGGAGTCTGATGCAAAGGTGTTGAAATTTCAAATGAGATGACAAAGAAAAGGGATTTAACCCAAATATAACTGATCCGTGAGGAATTATAGGAATACACCGTGAGAAATAAACTGTGTTGCGGGTGAAAAATGGTGAAATCTGTTGAAAGGGGGCCAATTTTGAGGTCGCTTGAAAGAGACACCTGATATATGAAAGGCTTGGTGAACCAATCGTATTTCTGACAAGTCTGAAGTGCTAAACTCCTCAAGACTCCATTATTGCAGAGTACACAGTAAATAAATAAAAGCCATTTATGGCAAATTAAAAACACCCAAAGTTAAAGTATACACCAGTTTCTCATGTGAGGTTGGTAATACAGCCTGTGAGAGCGCATGTGTTTGGAAAGTTGGTTGTGCTGAAACTGTAAACGGCGCGTGAAGTGATGATCCAGTTTGGAAGAACGTACGCGTTTTTCCGCTGTTGGACTTCCACGGCTGTTTCCAGGGAAGCCGCTCGGTCGACTGATGATTGGTGACACAGAAGGCTAAACTCAGACCAGATGGCAAAGGGGAAAAACATCATTGAAACTGGGAACTGACAAATCAGCTGCTATGAAATCCATCAGCAGACTTAATGAAGAAAAATCCACCAGTCAGTCAGTACGTTTACGATATATGTCCAATTCAAATGGAATGCTAATTGATTTATAATGCAAGTATTAAAAGCAGGAAATTAGGGCAAAAAAGACATTTTTAATGCTACGGAGAGCAAAGAAAACTGACACATTTTCTCTTTAGAAGGGAAAAAGATAACTGAAAAAGGCAACCAGGTTGATCGAAAAAACAAAACAAAACAAAACATGTATCTGTGTACAGGACATGGGTGCCAACACATGTGTGCAAACTGATAAAAATGTCTAAATATATGCAATGTATCTCCCAGAAAGAGAAACTGAACCTGAACTTCTGGACTTTATGGCTGCACTGATGCAAAAATGATCATTTCCCTGATACCTTTGGACAGTTTCATTTTAGCCTGGAATTCTCTAGTTAGTGGAATCGGTACAAAATCGAGCAGCAACGGATTTCAATTTGACAAGACGACATTACAGGTTTTCAAGTCTGTTAGGGAGTATCTCTGTGGATGTTTTTAAAATGTATTAGCAAGTACTATGAAAGAGTCAGTCTGGTGCAGTACGTACTGTAGGGAAATATTTCCCCCTTTTTCTGTTTAGGTCAGCTTTTGTCAGACTTTTGACAGCAGAAATACTTTTTTGGCTGTGATAAGTTACTAGGACGTTTTTTTGGCAGGCCAGAGAAAGGACAGCTGTAAAAGCGAAAAGAAACCTTTTTCAAAATTAAAAAAAAAAAGTCCAGTATACTACTTCATGTATTGCTTCAGATTTTAAACACACTTTGTGTTTCATTTTTATCTAAACTGATCAACAGCAGGAGTATTGAGTGATGCATGTGTTGAAGGAGCTATGACTATGGAAAGAAAACGCCGTGCAACTGAAGAAAAATTGCAAAATGATTGTAAAATAAACCCTGCTCTTTTATGAAATACGATTAACAATAAACCAGGGGACCAACGATTACTGTAAACACAGGCATAAATCTTTTGTTGTGACTTTGCCATCTATCAGTGAAGCACTGTTTTGATATTCAAAATCACTCTGAATGTGAATGGATGTGCTTCAAAGAAGAAAGTGCGCTTTTACTAATAAAACCTGATCCTGATATTCTGCGAAATCGCATTTAAAGACTCAACTTGTTACAAGAGTAATGACATGCCATTATGCCCCAGTTGAGGATGAACAGTTGGCTAAATTAGAGAATACTCATAACTGCAATTTAGAAAAAGAAGAGACTACATATGTGAAGTGGTGGATAAGTGTGAGGAAAAAAGCTCAAAGCCACGTATTCAGGCTTATTTTTACTTTTTTAAAAACCCCACTTAACCTGTTTAATTTCTGCCTTTTAAATACCAGTGACATAAAATTAGTCATGAAATCAACCCCGGCTAAATAAACATGACAAGCTCCAAGTGGGAGGCCCGAGATGATTACATGGCTCAAATACTGAAAGCATCTGGCAGGCTTTAAGTAAATCACTGACAGATTTATTATGAAAGGAAGACTCATTGCAGATAAGGATGTGAGTGACATATGCTTTTAGTGTTCCCGAGAGCACTGCGACATCGTCACTCTCCTTTAAACGATGTAAAGGGTTCAAAGTGCCAGCAAGATAATGGCATGAGTGTATTCCAAAGGTCCCGAACATATCTACAAAGGAGATGTAAATACTCGATCCACACAGAATAGCTAAGTCTATTAAATGCGTCATTCCGTGCCGACTGTGCGTTGAGCTCAGTGTCTGCGCATGCCAACACATCTGCTGTAATATTTTCTAATATGTATGAGCAGGAATGATTTCACAGCTATGTTTATTTACAGCAGCATTTCTAACGCAACAGACTTGAACTAACAACACTTATTTAAACTTGTAATGCTGCAATAAAGCATAAAATCTCAAATCCAGTTGGTACTTCCTGTCCAGGCTTTGCTCAAGGAATAATCCTGATCGGGAAAGCAGTGGATCGAACAACAAGAAAGCACTGACGTTCATAGATCCACGTCACACATCAAAGCTTTTTTAACTCGCGGTGGACTCTTGGTCATTATATCAGATCTCAATTTTAGATAAGTTCTTTCTAACTATCAAATAATCAAACAATTTCTGCACAAATGCAGTAAAACATGAAAGCATATAAGGCAGTAAGAACCACAACAGTTTAAAATAAAAAGGTACAGTGGAGTTTATAAGAAATCCCCACTCGCAGAAACCGAGCAGCGTGAGTTTAAATCTGTCGTCGCACGTTATCTGCAGGCTCAGGGATTCGTTTGTTCTGAAAGGAAGGAAATACAACGGTGAGCTTGTATTTGCTAAGAACATGCTTCTTGACCCTCAGTCTGAATTCATTTTCCATATGGTACAGACAGACAGGGGTCTGCGTGAGACTCTGTTACACTGACGTCAGCTTTTTTTTTTTTCTCTTAAACACAGCCCACTTCCTTACAGCGTTTCACATTAGCTTAGATTTTTACTGAGTGTATTTATCAGGATAATAAATTTGAAATTCTGACATATTACAGACCTATCTAATATATTTAAGTTTATACATTTTTGGAAACTGACACAATCTTTGTTATTTTATTTTTTCCAGGTAAAGTTATGAAGAATACGGGCTTAACGTGCAGACTCACCTGGACTTCCACAACAAAAACAGCACTGGTAAGATGATCACAGAATCATTTCCATCGTAAAGATAAAATTTTACCGAAGTCAGCCAAGGAATTCTGTTTAAAACCAAAAGTCAGCCCAGCTCTGGAACAGCATTCTTTGGACAGATCAGTCTGTACCAGAACAAGGAGAAGGGAAAAGTACGGAGGAGGCTTGGAAAGGCTCACGATCCGATGCATACAACATTCCCTGTGAAATATGGCGGATGCAGTGCGACACATGGTTAAGCACTTTGTCCCTGCTGTAGACAAAACAAAAGGCAAAAAAGGCATTCTTCAGTGATACTCATCTGTATCACTGAATAACTGTTCTTGATTGATGTCTAATAGCATTTCACCAATAGCTTTCTGGTGAGCTACACACTTGTGATTTGAAAAGCACAAATAGTAAAAGAAAGCAAGAAAAAAGCCCTACTTTAGACAAAAAGTGAAGTTTTAAAACATGATGAATAAAAACCCCAAAGCTCAAATTATCACATTGACCTCACTGCGTCTCAAGTGTGCTACACTTTCGCTTTCACAAGCCCACTTGGGCCTGTAAAATCGAGGAGCGCTGCATGAAAAAGCACACAGAAATTCAAACGGTGGGCTTCACTTTAGCCACAAACAAGTAAGTGAGTGAGAATACGAGAAAAAACCTCAGAGGTGAACGCTGTGCATCATCCATCTTTTGAGAATGTAGACCTTTCCGGTATTTTTCAGTTCGAGGAATTTCATGCTGGCGCTCAGGAGGAAATAATTAAACCCAGTGAGTGCGTGTGTGTGTGTGTGTACGTCATCTTTTATTGTGTTTTGATGCATGATCTTAGCAGCGCCTTCCAGGAGCGCTCCTGGCTCTGAGCTGAGCGCTTCTGAAAAAAAAAAAACCAAACCCTAAACAACAAAATGACTGTCTGTAAATTGCTATGAGGGCGATCTACTTACACCTCCACATGAATAGAGGAGTTCTGCAACACAAGACACACACGTACAGACCCTTAATCAGTCTGGAACAGAGCAGGAGCCGCTCAGCCCTGTGGGTCCTTCAGGACCACGTGTGTGTACACAAACCAACTACAGTCCATCCCCCGCTCCACTGAAGTGCTGCTACCTTGTTCCACAGCTGAACTTTCTCCTCTGCTTGTCTGGCAGACTGTAAAGCGTCCTGGGCCATTGTAAATGTACTGTAAAATGAGTTTTCTTCTAGTCTTTAAAAAAAAAGTATTGTAATGTTACAAAGCGAAAAAAAACCCCAATGTTTGCAAAGACGAGTTTAAATCGGGGGCATCTTTTTGTTCCCTGGGAAAAGCTCGGAATTTACACAAATTTTCATTTTAGCAGCTACACAGTCAAGCGGCGCTCACAGTGACTGTATTCACGTCGCATGCCAAGTGCTATTACATTTTCTACTACACATTCATTCATATATTTCCCTGCAGATAAACCCGTCTAGTTCAGACACACTATTGTCAGATACAACTGATTGGAAAACACTTTAAACTAAAAAGCGACGATGGAACAAAAACAACAACTACATGAAGTATGAAATACCAGTCTGCAATTGTTCTAACTCTACAGTAATCCCAGCAAGAAATTTATTTCAACTGAGCAACCTTGACAGTCTCATTAACAGACTACAGGGATACGCACAAACAGCTTCCGAATATAATTGTGACACAGTGGAATAGGCCTACAGAAATTACTCAGTTTATGTCCAACAGCGCCAAAGCAGAAAATGTTTCATTTACACCGTCCACACAGGAGGATACATAATTACCCACTTCCAACGTGCCTGCGTTGAAAGACGAAAATTAAATCATCTTGTATTTTGCAGTAAATTACTGTGAATGCATTACTCAGAGTTTGATACGAACTCATCGCTGACTGAACTTTTCTGTGTTGGACAAAACAAAGAAAAAAAGAAGTCAAATTAATCACCGTGTGCTGAAATAAAACCGGCTGCACTTAACTTCTATTCTTCCCGTTCGGACTGTGAGTTGCATCTAATGTGAAATATGAGGTTCTGTGGTCACAGTATGGAAAATGTGATCCGTGACGAGCTTCATTGGACTTGCTGCTTTACCGTTTACGTGCAAGCTGGTAACACCTGCTGCTCGGCAAGCTGATAAATTGCCGTTTTCAGATACCGCTTTGAAAATGCAGTTATTCATGACAGTGTTTGTTCATCCTGTTAATTTTGAGACAGCTGCGGCGTGATTTATGGCCTCCTTTAAAGATAATCTATTTTACCATTACATCAACAATAATTAGAAAGTAATCACTGGTTTAAGACTACAGCAGCCCCAATAACGGCGGCCCTTTTTGTCACCAATTTAATGGATTCATTTTGTGGCCTTCTCAGTTAAACTCCACATAAGTAAATACAATACAGTAGAAGATCAAAAATAAGAGTAAATTCTACTTTACAAGAACATCACAAACTAAAGCAGAGATATTAAATGAAACTCCCCAAATGTACATAAAACATTCTCTTGGTGGAAAGATTTTTGGCACACACTGTTGCAATCTGATAATACCTTCGACCTTCTTTCAGGTGACAAAGCTTAGCCCATGATGAAACGCATGCAATTCAAAAGATCACAGCACAGCTCGGCACAGGAAATCCTGGATAGAGGGCGAGGCCGCTGCTCCTATCAAGTACATGACATCCTAAAAGTACAGACTTTAAATTGAGTGAAAATTATGAAAGCTGGACTCACTATTGAGGAAAAGCTCTTCCTGCGTTGCCTGTCGGGCAGCAGGAGAGAAGCAGCGTTTCTTCAGCCACTCTGCATCAAAGACACTGATGTGCTGGTCGGGCCATACGATGGAGACCTGTGGAGAGATGAAAGCTTATTGAACTGGTTTGTCAAAGTGTTTTGAGGCTCTTTTTCTTTTTAAGTGCTCACCTAATATTTTGTAGTGATTGCTAATCACCTGAAGTAAAGTTTGTGTCAAATGAACAATCCATGACTTGTTTATTTAGAGGGTATTGTCTTTTAGTAACACATGACTAGGATAGAAAAAAAGATGGGTTTGAACACTGATCTTTGAAGGCGTTCTTTTTTTTTTTTTTGCTTCATAAGGTTAAAAAACTCCCCCAAAACTTACTCCCTTCTTTCCAAATACCTGTGGAGGCTTTTAGCCAATCCAACCACGTCCTCAAACCTTTTGGTATTTTTAAAGACACGTGTTTGCTATAATGCATAATGGCTATCCAGTATATCTTGGCACAGGAAACAGGATGCACACGGTAGCTTGGCAGTGCTGTCACGTCAAAGGAATCTGTTTATAGCCGTGTCCTACTTCAGGGCCTGGATCCTCTGAAGGACACAGTTCACTGGGGAGATTTCTTTGGAGGACTTAAAGGTCAGGCTGAATGCGCCAAAATTAGACTGTCTGACCTCATCGACCTCCTCAGTTCATCACCAGGCAGTTTTCTCAGTAACAATAAGCAAAGTGTAAATGTCATTCCCGAACTGGAACAAGTTTCATGACAACCAAGTATAATGAGATGCATTTAAAATTTTAAACACGACAACGACACAAACGCACCCAAACAAACTGCTTAAAGCAGAGCAACGAGAATAGAGTTGTGGAGATGTCATGTTTGAATCTTTGTAAAACATTTGAAATATCAGTTCTTCTGCTGAATTCATGTTTAATTATTTGTTTGGCCTGAAAAAATCAGATAAAAGCAAGTAATCACTATATATTTTCCAGACACCACTTTTTCCCCTAAAGAACAGTCAAAATTAGAATCCCTGCCTAGTGCCTGTACGCCCAGCAAACTAGCCAAGGTGCAGCTTTCATGCACATCTGTGCTGACTCATGATGTATGCAGTAAAGGCTAAAGGAACTTAACATTTTAAGTATCACACCAACCTGAAATCTAATCACATCTCCTTCTGTTTCCGAGTTAATGTTCTGAATAATGGGCAAGAACGTGCAGAACATCATAATATCAGTTAAGTTGACCTTTTATCCTGTTTGATATTTGGTGAAAAGATCTTACGCTATGGCCAAAAAATAAAGAAAGAAAGAAATTGTGAGATAACACCAGTGACCTTTGACCACCAAAATCTAATCAGTTCATCCTTGAGTTTAAGTGAGCTTTTGGATATTATTTTGGATACTGATTAACTTAAAAGAGGACCAACTCATCTGCTGTTGATCTTACAGGTGAAAGTTATAAGGAGCACAAAAGAAGTGGTATTTCAAAATAATGTGCAAGTACAACTACATGACTGGAGAGAAATTACTGTTGAACCAGAGAGTAGCTCTGGAAATCCACTCACAGCCAACTTGGGTCATAATTTAAACTTTCATCCTTTTCTCTAAACATAAAACATCCATCTTGTGTGTCTGTGTGGAACTCTGAAAACCGCAAGCCAAGTTTGGCAGCAGCCCACCTTGTTGTCATTGGTGACCTCCACAACATCTACTCCTGTGTGGATATCGAGATCGGCCAGCAAGAGCATTCGGGCTTGAGCAGATTGCAGGGTACACAGTGGACACTGGCAGTTGTCTCTCAGCCAGGTGAATGGGTACAGACTGTGGCCTCCATCCTCCCACTCCACCTCCATCTGCCTGTCATCATCCAGAGCTCGGACATGCCTCACTAGATGGCGAGAGACAGGAAGGGAGGCTGACTCCAGTGTGTGCCGCCCACGAAGATGTAATGAAATCAGGCAAGGAGGTAGAGGAGCAGCGGTTGGCCCCAGCCTACGACAAGCCCTCAGAGCCTGGCGGGTCAGAGAGGTGCTCCTCTGCAGAGCAGGCAGGGCCGAACGTGCAACAGTGCTCATCCACATTTCTGAAGGGTTTTGCCCCCGGCAGCTTTATCGCCAGATTGGAAAGGGCTAACACTCTGCAGAGAAAAAGTTAGTGACTTTAGACAATATTAAAAAGCAAGATTTTTTTTTTCTCGTTTCCATGCAGCTTTTGGAAATGTGGTTTGTTGCTATGCTACACTCTGCTGACTGTGTTGATAAGACAAAGCTGCAGTTTAGAAACCACACAATTTTTCTTTTGACCGAAATGCTGAACAGTTTGCATGCACAAGACACATTAGCAATCTGAAATTGAATATGATGATGATATTCACATATTAACCTTCAGCGTTTCATCGGTGATGTGCCGATACAATACAGATACCGTTAAGCTATAAAGCCAGTTTATGTAGGGGAGAGCAGCTCGTTATGATTTATGAGATAAACAATCATTAATTTTCAAATTCTTTTAAGATTTCATTGACCAGTAAATAACTGTGATTTGTATTTTCCACAGTAATGAGTTAATACAACAAAACACAGCTTTCAGCTTTTCATGTATTTTAAATTTGGGTTTAGATTGTCTTTAAAGCACTCTGGGTCAGCTTCTGTTGTTTAAACGTGTTATAGGCTATAAACAAAACAGACAACAAGGTTTAGACATTTTTCATTTAAAAAATGATTTAAACAATGACAATTCAGAGGGTTACATACTGAACTTGGATGGAAACAAAGTATCAATCCTATTGTGTTAGTATCAATCTGTTACCAATACCAGCTTTGGTATCGATACAATCGATATTTGGCCTGATCCGCCCACCTCTAATGTCTGACCACCAACCACAAAAAACCGACTGGAGACAGCAAACTCACAGTTAGGAACTTATAAGTGTGAAATGTTCGGAATGCGCTTTAAAAAATAAAAGACAGCTGGGTAATTTTGCCACCCAACTAACTAATGAATCATTCCACTTTCACAGATTCAAACAATAGCTGTAAAACATTTCGGGGGTGTAACTGTCTGTGCTGAACAGGGTTAGTTTTAGCCCTTTGATTCGTACCCCCCTCATTTGACAGCTGTGGGTGCTTGTTTTGTTACAGTTTATTTATATATAACTCAGTGCGAGATTAGCTTCTATTTCTTTAATACTGCTGACTTCAAGCTTCCCGATTCTACTGTTGTTGAACAGGGCTGTGGCACTGACAGCTGGTTTTGACAAGCATACAACATACATTGACTGAATCAGAAATGAGTTGGTGAACAGCTACTGACAGAGTGACTTATCCTCGGTCTAACTCCGTAAGGTCTAAAATGACAGCATTTAGCCGGTAGCCGCTGGGTTTGAAGAACGAGCTAACCCTCGACTGTTAGCAGGCTAGTTTCTGTCAACGCACTCGTTCATCCGGTACAACGACATCCTGAATTCAGCTTCAAAGCTAATAGCGAGACTAAACAGTGGAGCCGCTTACCCAGCAGGACTCCTGTGTCAAGTTTGTGTATTAAAGTGGCAGGAAGAAGAAAAAAAAGTCCGCCTTTTCGCCATCAACAGAATTTACCTGGATCAATTAGATGACGGTCGGTGTGTTGTTCCCACGAGCACTGCGGACGTCACAACACAACCGCCGGGTGTCAGCGTGCCAGAGAAAGTAGGTGAAAGGTTGATCGGCGGCAGTATTGAACAGGAAGACACAATCACTACACGCGCGTAAACTTTGCTCTACTTTCTTATCCCAGCCATAATACAGCCACGATACAATCTGATAAGGACAGGGTGGATGTGTTTTTAGAAACAGTAGTGGGAAAGTACAGCAGACACACGCTACACAGCTACCAGTTAATCTAACACCGTTATTTTAATTCTAATAGTAGGTGGGTCACAGTTTCAGTGTGATAAGCGCCTTTGGGTGGTTAGGGGCAAACATGTGCGCGTTTTGGAGGTCCACTAGGTTATCGTTGCACGTTATCCGCAGGTGTAATTACGAAAATGAATTACAGTCCCATTTGTTTGGTGTACCGCATTCAATCCAGTTAGCTAACATACAAAGAGCCATAATAAAAGTTATTAATTATATCTGTGTTTACCCTGCAGTCAAATATTAAAAGATAAAGACCCTATAATAACACAGAAAAAACTCCAACAGTCAGGCAACTCCGTATGAACGAACACTATGGCAGCAGTGGGAAGGAAAAACTCCCTTTTAATAGGAAGAAACCTCCACAGAACCAGGCTCAGGGAGGGGAAGACATCTGGTATGACCGACTGAGGGTGAGGGAAGAAAGACAGGACAAAAGACATGCCGTGGAAGAGATGCCTGGGTATAATAACAACTGATGATTAAATGTAGAATGGTGTATAAACACACAGTCAATGAAAAAGGTGAGTAAAGAAGAAACACTCAGTGCACTTCAAGCTCTGCCTCCCATTCTGCTATTACGTATCCTAGGTACCCACAAGTAAACCAGAACTCTGGAAGCGAAGTGCTCTATTGAGGTGATATGATACTATGATATCTTTAAGATAAAATGGGGCCTTGTATGTGATAAGAGTTCAAATTTGATTCTGGATTTAATAGGAAGCCAATATGTGCGAAATATGCCCTCTCTGCCTAAAGCTCATTGGTTTGAGACAAATGCTGGGAACAGCGTTGTTTATTTAACTTGGGAACGAAACTTAAAGGAGCACTTGAAGAAAAATGGCCAGTGCCACAATCCCCCATTTTAAAGTAAATGAGGCAGATCTGCACCAGACCTTTCACTTTCAGCTTTTCATGTATTTTAAAACGGTTTTTTTTTGGAGACCTGGAATGAGAATGTGCCTGTCTTTAAAGCACTGTGGGTCAGCCTCTGCTATTTAAATGTGGTATTGGTTATAATTGAAATAGACGTGACAGTCAACACAATAAGGTTCAGACATTTTTCATGGTGCCTCACTGAGGTATATTTTTTCATTTCCCAAAAAAATTAAATAAAATAAATAACACAATTCAGTGGGCTTCATACAGAACCTTAACGGTTATAAACAAAGTGTTGATTATATTGTGCTACTATTAGGCAGATACCAGGCCTGCACTTTACAGTATGAAGGACCCTAAAAATGACTGCTGTAAATCAAATTCTGCTGAAAAATTACAACACATTTCCTTTCATAAATCTCATCTGCTTCTACTGCTTGTCAACAAATTTCAGTCTGAACCATGTTAGCTTGATGGTAGCACATAAGAAAAAAGTCCTGTAATCCCCAAAGTCTCCCGAGGAGTAAAAAAATGAGTACAAAAGTTGATGGGAACCCATCCAATATCTGTTATGTATTTATACTTCAGTCTAGAGAAAAGTGAATGGATGACAGCCAATCCCCAGAGCCTATAAATGTTCATAGAAATTACATAAATTCTAAGTTTATATGTCTCTGTGCTTTTGAGGATGCCAGTGGAGGCACTAGATCAAATATTTATCATTCTGATATCAATAAATCTTTTACATTTATCTGGAATGAAGGTCCGAATATAAACTGTTTCTTTCAGCTTTGAAAGTGTGTCCACTTGCTACTTTTTTCTTTTAGACCAATGGTTGGGAAGTAATCAAAAAAACAAACAAACAAAAACGCATATTGAAAACTGTAAAACTGATAAAGACATGAGTGGATAACGCACAGAACTTTTGTGTCCATTCACACCTTTTTCACACCTTTTTCAGTTTTGATGCCTTCTTTGTAGGTTTCAGACGAGGATGACCAGCACACAGCAGAGGAGGAGTGTAAGTTTTAATCAAAGTGGCACCTGCTAATGCCAGAGTTTTATTTTGAAAAGCATCATTTTGAAATGATTAACCCAGGAAGAGACACATTGTCAGACACATGGTCACCTAGTTTACAGTTTAATAGATGTGCGTTTCAAAGGGTAAGAGATAATTTCTACTCAGTCACCCAAAGGCACTGGACTTTGTGCAACTGGTTCAAGTATACTCTCTGTGTTACATATGCCGTTAAATCTGTCTCACAATGTTTCTGAAATGATTGAACCAAATGGACAAAGTGCCCAGCCACAGCTGAACACTGTTCATTATGTAACACTGCAATTCATATAAAACCAAAGGTGAAATGATGACTTACCAGTAAGAATGGTAGTTAAAGCAGCTCTGCTATCACTCATTAGCCACTTTGTTAGGTACACCTGTTCATTTACTCATTAAAGGAACATGTAGTCAGCCAATTACGTGGCATCAACACTACATGCTAAAGTTCAAACCGAGCATCAGAATGCGAAAGAAAGGTGATTTAAATTACTTTGAATGTGATGTGGTTGATAGTGCCAGACTGGCTAGTCTAAATATTTCAGAAACTGCTGATCTGCTGGGATTTTGCTGTGCAACCCTCTCTATGGTTTACAGAGAATGGCCTGGAACAGAAAAAATATCCAGAATGCACCAATTGCCGGTGAAGAAATGCCTTGTTAGTACCAGAGATCAGAGGAGAATGACCAGCCTGCTTTGAGCTAATAGGGAGGGAGCAGTAACTCAAATAACCACTTGTTAAAAACAGAACAGAAGCAGAAGAGCATCTTTAATACAAAACCCTGAAGCAAATGGGTTACAGCACCAGAAGACCACACTGCGTGCCACTCCTTTAGACGACTGGAAAAGCATTACTTGGTCTGATGAGGCTTGATTTCTGTTGTGATTTGGATGAGGGGTCAGGATTTGCTGTAAAACACCATGAAAGCCTGGATCTATTCTAACTTGTATTATGGTTCAGGATGCTGCTGCTGCTGTAATGGCGTAGGGGATATTTCTTGGCACACAGCATTTGCTGACCATGTTCATTCCTTTATGGGCTCGGTGTATCGATCTTCTGATGGCTGCTTCCAGCAGGATAATGCACCATGTCACAAAGCCCAGATCAAACTGGTTTCTTGAATATGACAGTGAGTTCAGTGTGCTCAAATGGCCTCTACAGTCACAAGATCTTGGTCTAATAAAGCACCTTTTGGATGTGGTGCAACAGGACATTTGTATTGTTGATGTAAGCTGTAACTGTGTGAGGGTGTCATTTGAATAAGAACCAGAATCTCAGAGGAATGATTACAGCACATTTGTGAATCTGTTACATGAAGAATTGAAACAGTTCTGAAGGCAAAAGGGGTCCAATCTGGTACTAACAAAGTGTACCTACTAACTTGGCCACTGAGTGTATATAAGTGATTCCTAGCCTTTTTGGTGTGCATACTCACACATGCCTGTCAGATGAGCTTCACTTCCCTGTTTATTGATAAAACTCTTCGTGGTTTAGTGTGTTAATTTGATTGAACTACTACAATAGAGAAGATTCATGGATGTAGTGCAGGAGGACTTGCAGATGGTTGCTGTGACAGAAGAAGATGCTAGCGACAAGGTGAGATGGAGGCAGATGATTCACTGTGGCAACCCCTAAAAGTGCAACTGAAAGAAGAAAATCCTTTCCATACATTTGAGCAGCCTGTGTTTGGCTCATTTGAGTAAACCTGGTATTCATATATAACATTTGGAAACAGAACACTGGTTAGACATAACTTAATGTCCTTATTAATTTTGCATCAACCATGTGGATTCTTAATTCATTGATATTTAAAGTTAACTATTTGGTTAAAATAAATTTGGCTAGAAATGTTTTATTATTTTCCTAACTAACAATTTATCTGATATTCAGCAGCATATTTTCCATCATTTATCCATTAATTTTAGCTATCGATTTGGTACTTTTAGATAGTGATTTAATTCACAACATTCAGCTGAGCTATCTTTTTAGCTACCTAATTTTAAGCTAACAAATACTTCTGGTAGCTTGCTTCCCAGGTTTCATGAATCACTGCAGATATTTACTTTTATAATTGGAATTTAAAAGTTTGGCTTTTTCAATCTATTTTGCATGTACACATTGGGGAAAGCAGGAAAACCTGCTGGAAACCCTGACGTAGCCTGTCAATGGTTGGGGTCAGTGGCTTTAGAGAACAAGGATTCAGTGTCAGTGTCTTTTTTTGCTCTGCATGCTGCTAATAATTATTTTACTTTAGCTAAAAAAAACCAAAGTTTTTACCCTCTTGTGGAAACACAGTGTAAGCTATAGTGTTCCCAGCTTTTATGTTTGCTGCTGGGCCTATACTGTGTCTTCTTTTTAATGTTGGCTTCATCCTAATCGGTCGACTCAAAGTATCTGCAAGAAAAGCTGTACTTTCCAGTGTTACATAATGCGCACAAGCTGGCACTTTTAAATATGGTTTTGAATCAATATTATTGACTCATGATTTCTCAGTTTCTCCAACTCAAAGCCTCACCCTCTTTATTCAACCTTATGTGTGGTCTTAAAGGGCCAAAGGGAAAAAAAGATTTTCAGCTTACTGAAATAGAACTCAGGAACAAACAAAGTTGTCTGTAAGGTCCACCACACTGCTTAAAACACCAGCTACACAACATCCTTACATGTCTGTTTCTTGTAAATGCCAGCAAGCAGCTTCTTCCTTTAAAGCATCCATAATTAGGGGGCATTGCCTGTGTGTATAATTCACAGCAGACTTCAAAACCTTGTAAAGCAAACATGGAAGGCAACTTTGTTTTGAAGCACGTGGCAATATATTGTGCATTCCCCCATTGTTATACTGCTACAGCAACATTGTGGGGTGTGCTAAACACCACAAACTCTCAGGACCTCCTGGATGGGGATCCATGGGGATCCCCTGCGACATAATGAATGGTGTAAGCTCACTTTCATGTCAGT